CCCGCAAGGCAGTTGGAATGTCAGTTGCATATGGAACCTGCTGTATTCTGGTGGTGTGCAGGTCCCAGGTTCATGTTTTAAAAGCAGACTGACACTGTTTGCCCAAAGCCAGAGCACTCTCCCAGAGCCTCTTTCTAGATCCCGTTGTATTTATTTCTACAACGGGCCTTATTTCTAGTTATAACAATAAAACATATAATATAAAACAATAAATTACAGTAAAATGCAGTAACACGTTTACAATGTAAGTTTACACGTTTAACCAAGATGGGTAGCTCTTAACCTCCATGGTAGCTTCTTGAAATCTTGTCATCCAAATCATGCCCGGATGCTTCGTCCCTCCGGTGGGATCCAGACAATCATGATGGTAACACGATAGTGCATAGGGGCGGTGGTGGAATAGTAGTGGCGGCGGCTCCTACTCAAAGGCCTGGCGGAAGAGCTCCGTCTTGCAGGCCCTGCAGAACTGAGAAAGGTCCCGCAGGGTCCGGATCTCCTCCGGGAGCTCCTTCCACTAGGTAGGGGCCACCACAGAAAACGTCCTGGTCCTGGTCACAGATTGACACTCTTTGGGTCGGGGACCACCAGTAGGTTGTGTTCCCTCAAGCGTGGTGCTCTGTGGGGACGTACCAGGATAGGCGGTCCCGAAGGTATGATGAAAACAGAGATGCTCATCTCAGAGTTTCCCCAAAGACTGCAGAGAGAAGCTTTCAGGTGTGATAAAGCAGGGGCAGAGGGCTGCCCAGGTGTGTTCTGATCCCCCCCCCCCGCGTTGGCAGCCTTCAGCCTTGGGACCTTACGCTTCAGCCTTGAGAACTTACGATTCGCTCTTCACGCTATGAACCTTGTTGTCAGGAGAAATTGTTGAAATCGGGTTCCAGCTACACAGCTGGCAAACTGAAGAAGTTGATGGAAACGTCTCCTTTAAGTATCTGGAACTGGCGTTTTTGCAAAGACTGTTTTTGAATATGTTTTGAAAACGTGGATTCCTCCTACTGAGTTGAATGGACTACATGGACTAATATTTATCTTTGAAGGAGGAAATATTGTACCCTATGCATTGCTTATAGTATTAGTATGCACTTATTTTGATGTTGTGGCATCTCCAGCTTTTTAATTGTTAAACAGACTTTATATATTTTGGCATTTTTAAAATACTTTTTTATTGCTTTTATATTACAAACTACAAATGGAGGGGAAATATGGGGAATACAAATAATATGGGGAATATGGGGAATACAAATATGAGGATTGCAAATAAGCCAATGGGTTATGTTAATAAGCTCCTGCACCTCTTTTTCTACGAAATGACCCCTGAGTAGGTCTATTTTCTTAAGCAACACGCTGATCTACCCCTACTCACCATTTCCCCCTGCTTTTCCTTTCAGGGCAGCCGGCGGGAACTTGGCAGCGGGAACTGCCTGAAGGCAAGAGGGGTGAACCAGTTGAAGGTTCTGCGGAGATGAGCCAACATTCAGAGGACGTTCTATGCCTAGAGCCACGCCAAGGTGGGATCCGCACCTGGGAAACTGCGTTTGACGTTCCGGACTGGGGCAGGGGGATGGGAGTGCCGGGGGGAGCCCAGCGCTTGTGAGTCGCAAACCCCAGTTATGAAGCAACTCCCCGCTTTGTGGACTTGGAGGAAACAGAACAGGGGCGGCGGCGGATTCGGACTGCGGTGCAACAAGAAATGAAAGCTGCCGAAAGAGAGGGACGGTGTGCGTTCTTTGGGCATCCACCCAGCGTCCCGGAGATGTCCCCCACCCCACCCTGCCCACCTGTAGGGGGAAGGGCGTGAGAACTTTGTGAGTCTGGGGATGGCCGGAGTGCCACGCGGTAGTGGCAGCCCAGAGGAGCCGGCCTTCCAAAGAGCGACATTGACACAGAGCTTTATCAGGATTTTTGCTGGTCTCAAGGGTCACAGTTGTAATTATTATGATTCCCTTTTTTGCAGGCTTGAAAATAAAGATATTTTTCACATCCCCCGGAGCCTCTCTGTTCACTTTAGGCCTTGCCTCTTCCCCCCAAGTCTACTTCTGCATCATAGTTCGGAGTACAGATGCTAATCTGGGAGAACCGGGTTTGATTCCCCACTCCTCCACATGCAGCTGCTGGTGTGACCTTGGGGCAGTCACAAGTTATTTCAGAGCTGTTGCTTTAGGCTGGTCCTGCATTGGGCAGGCGGTTGAACTAGATGGTCTGTATGGCCCCTTCCAACTCTATGATTCTATGGGGGGGGGACCCCAAATTCTGCATGCAGCTCTGATTTGGATCAGGCCACAAGGGGATGGGATTTAATCCTTCAATCCTTGCTTAGTTGAAGAGGGCCTGTTTAGTGTAGTGGTTAGAAGCGCGGACTCTAATCTGGGAACACCGGGTTTGATTCCCCGCTCCTCCACATGCAGCAGCTGGTGTGACCTTGGGTCAGTCACAAGTTCTCTCGGAGCTCTTCTCTCACAGGCAGTTCTCAAAGAGCTCTCTCTCAGCCCCACCTACCTCACAGGGTGTCTGTTGTGAGGAGGGGAAGGGAAAGGAGTTTGGAGACCACTCTGAGAATCCTTTGGGTAGTGAAGGGTGGGGTATAAATCCAATTTCTTCTTCTTCTTAGTTTTCAGTGCTTGAAATGTACCCAGTTGCCTGCACTGTTATCACAAAGTGGTAGCAGTGTTAGTCTGCTGTAGCAACGTAAAACAAAACAAAAATCTATTGGGATGTTAAGTTTATTCATTTTATTTATTTATAACCCATGTTTATTGAGATATATGTCAGAGTGATAGAGGTAGCAAGCAGTTACTATAGATCAGTTTGATCTGTTTGTCAGACCTAGCTGTCAAGCTAGTAATCATGTAATTACAGCCAGGTGTTTTCTAGCAGGTGTTACTCTTTCAGGGCTTGTTAGAGCTAGTGATTGCATCACCTTGTTAGAGATTGGCTGGAGTTTAGCATAATAGCTATCAGCTTGGTAAGCTGGAGGGGGTCTTAGTTCTCATAGACTAAGGCACGACATGCTGTTCAATAGCCTGTAAATATCTCTGTATATATTCACCTTTATAACTATATAAACTCTCTGTGCACCTTCATAACTGGTCAGTCTCCCACTTCTTATTTACAACACCCAATAATTTTTTCCCCCACGGGGGACCCAAAGCAGCTTCCATCAGTCTCCTCTCCTCCATTTTATCCTCCCAACAACCAGGTGAGGTAGGTTAGGCTGAGAGCGGGTGACTGGCCCAAGGTCGCCCAGCGAGCTTTCACAACAGAGTGGGGATTCGAACCTGGGTCTGCCTGATACTAAGTCCAAGACTTTAACCACTACACCCCACTGCCTCTCTTAAATGTTGTTAATCTTTAAGGTGCCTCGAGTTTTTTTGTTTTGTTCTGCACTAACAGGCATTTTAAAGCGGGGGGAAAAGAGATGAGTTTTTAAAGAATACATCTTCCTTTTCCCCTATAAAAGGCTAATAACAGATTGGGAACTTAGATCAAGATGGGTCGTTGTGTTAGTCTGTCCGTAGCAGAAGAAAAGAGCAAGAGTCCAGAAGCACTTTAAAGAGTGACAAAATATGTGGCAGGGGAGGAGCTTTAATGAGTCACGGCTCACTTCTTCAGGTGGGAAGTTAGTGAGCCTGACCCAGCGTGCCCCTGACCCAAGTCAGAGAAAACTGGCATGGAGCAGAGGTCACTGTCAATACTTCCCTCTGAGCTGTGGATTCTTGTGAGCAGGGCTATTTTTGGGCAGGAACGCACAGGAACGGAGTTCTGGCTGGCTCCTGAGTTGGCCACGCCCAGCAGGAACTCATTAGCATCATAGGCCACACCCAACAGCACAAACTCATTAGGATTGGCTACATTAGGGGTGTGTGGCCTAACATGCAAAAGAGTTCCTGATACAAAAAAGGCCCTGGGTTTTGACAACAAACAAGGTCAACAGAATAAGAAGGGAAAGGTGGGTGTGGCTGGATGACCACACTTCTGGTAACATGGGGGTGCGGCCTAATGTGCTAATGAGCTGTGCTGTCAGGGGTGTGCAAACTAGTTTATGCAGCAGCCAAATTGCTTGCTCACAACTTTAATGCCAGTTGCTCACAAAGTAGAATTTTTGCTCACAAGACTCCACAGCTTAGAGGGAACATTGCTGCTAACGTGGAGGTGTGGCCTAATATGCCAATGAGTTCTGCTGTCAGAGGTGTGGCCTAATATGCTAATGAGTTCCTGCTGTTGGGTGTGGCCTATTATGCTAATGAGTTCCTGCTGGGCTTTTTCTACAAAAAACGCCCTGCTTGTGAGCCAAAATTCTACTTTGTGAGCTACCCGGCATAAAAGTTGTGGGCGAGCGGTTTGGCTGCTGCATAAACTACTTTGCTCTGGAGCCATCCTTCCTGGGCCGAGACAAAAGTGTGTGAGCCGGAGGCTAAAAACACTGTGAGCTAGCTCACACTCACTCAGCGTAGAGGGAACATTGGTCACTGTATATGTGTGTGTGGGGGGGGGAGGCATTTGTGAATTTCCTGCATTGTGCAGCGTGTTTGACGAGATGACCCCGGGGGTCCCTTCCAACTCTATGATTCGAGGATTCCCCATGACTCTGTGGTTCCAGTTTGAGTTTTGCAAAGTGAAGGAGACCTGTGACTGATGGAGATGTGATCCTCATTGCATCTATGTGGAGCGTGGTGTGGTCCCCCACCCCCCACATCACAGCAGGAGCTCAGTGTCGTGGTTAAGTGCATGGACTCTAATCTGGGAGAGCCGGGTTTGATTCCCCCACTCCTCCACTTGCACCTGCTGGATGACCTTGGGCAAGCCGTAGTTCTGACAACAGCTGTTCTTGAATAAGAGCAGTTTCTGTCAAGAGCTCTTTCAGCCCCACCCACCTCACAGGGTGTCTGTTGTGGGGAGGGGAACGGAAAGGAGTTTGTAAGCCGCTCTGAGACTCCTTTGGGTAGTGAAGGGCGGGGTATAAATCCAATCTCCACCTCCTCCTCCTCCAAACAAATGGGACAAACCTTCATTTTGATCTGCAGCTGATGGCCATGAAACACAGAAGCCTGTGCTCATAAGGTTGGGAATGGGCCCCCCACACCTGAACCACCCCGAACCACGCAAAGGACCTATGTCTTTGCCAGATTCAAGTTCAGCCGGCTCAGCCTGAACCACCCAACCACGGCCTATACTGCCCGGTCCAGATCTTCCGGTCTGGAGTCCGACTGGCCGCCCAACATCAGATAGAGCTGGGTGTCGTCAGCGTACTGGTGACACCCCAGCCCATGCCTCCGGGCTATCTGGGCAAGGGGGTGCATGTAGATGTTAAATAGCATCGGGAAAAACACTGCCCCTTGAGCTGCTCTCCAGCGGGTGCCTCCTGGACTGCTGTTCCCCTAGCGCCACCCTCTGTCCCTGACCTCGGAGAAAGGAAGCGAGCCATTGCAAGGCAAGCCACCTTGAGAAATAGCCATCACCTCTGCATCTTCTGAGAGTAAATTCCATTCGGCGAATCATGCATTAAGTGACGAGGTACTTCCTTTTCTCTGTTCTGAGGCTCTGGCCGATCATAAGAACATAAGAGACGCCAAT